TTTCAAAATGCAATTTGGATGCAGCAATGTTGCAATTCTCAGAACACATCGAGGACTGACATTTTTGGAATGAAGCTGCCTCAATAAAATCCAAGATGAACAGGGTCCCGCATGTATGAAGATGCATGGCATTAGCGAAGCACAACCAAGTGTGTGTACAAGGCTTTCCTATAGTACTTTGTACACACTTACACGTCCTTAGAACAAATAGTGTTTTTTTTTTTAAATTGTTATGATGCTTGGCACAGAGGAGCTAAAAACATGATTATAATTATGAAATTTTTGCTCACTCACCTCTCATACAAGGATATGGAGGGTTATTACAGATAAAATGTCCACCAGCTGTTTTCTGCCTCCACTGAGGTCTAAAGCAATGGGAAAGGAGCACCAGCAGATTGGAGAAATTAGAACTGTTATGGCTGGGAGTGTGTGTGTGTGTGTGGGGGGGGGCGCTGGGAAGCCTTAAAATAGGGTACCAAGGGAAAACAGTATAATCCTACAGGTGTTTAAGAATAAAGGGGGCTGTCCTTAGGCTGGGATTATTCTGGTGAGGTTTGGAAATACGTCCTGGTGTCAGGTTCCTAATCAACCCCAAAGTTTTGAGAACTTGAGTCCCTAATGTGGTAGTAAGAAATGGGAAGGGCATAAAATAGTCTCTAACTTCCAGAATTTATAATCTGGGTATAGGAAATCAAGGAAATGATCACTTGGATTGGAGTGATCAGGAAAGATTTTGTAGAGGGAGTAGTAGATTTGATAGCCTAATAAGAATGAATACATTTGGAGTACACAGATAGGAGGGAAAGGTATGGTAGGTAATGGCAACTAAAAGTCCAAAGATCCCTTTAGGGCTATTCTGAACCTAAAAGGCTAGCATCAAAATCTTGCCTTTATTTAAATTACATATTTATTGATGGGTGGGAGGAGACAGTCTACTGGAAAGAGATTATGTAAGGAGGTATGAGTCATTTCATTTTTCTTACCATTTCGTGTCACCCCCTATCAAATAAATTGTACCAAACTTAGGAAAACAGGCACTCTTATTAAGAGGTTTTTGGGTCAATATCTTAGCAAGAAAGTAAATTAATTAAATGAAACTTAAATGCATTCACTCAGCAAATATTCACTGAACACCCACTCAATAAATTCCAGCCACAAGTCTAGTCACCCTGTATAGGGACAAACATTAAATATGCTTTCCTCATAATACACAACAGACACGTAAGACGCTGGTGTTTATTCTTACACATAAAAATGATAATGAGTTTCCTTTTTATGAGTACACATTTGATGTGGACACTTAGCTCCGGAGTTTTAAAATGACAGAACACTCACAGAATACCAGGCATTCATATCACAAACCCTGGGGAAAAGTGTAAAGGAACATTGCTAATAGTTGTCTAAAGATTACTCATATATATACTATGGTGGAGCTGGTTTTGTTTTTAATCAGAACATTTGAGTGAAGGAAGATCAGCAACATGCCAGAAGAAATAAACTTCTACTTGGTAAAAAGCATTAAGATGAGTGTCTAGAGAAATTCAGTGGTGGCTGGATTCCTCAGCCCTCTGCTCCTTTGCTTATGGACAAAGCTAAAATAACAACGTGAAGCTACAGAGCATTCATCTGCTTCTGATTTACTGTCTTGGTCTTGTCCTAGTTGGAGTAATTTCTAGATCATATTCTACAGTCTTCAGAGAATTTACAGAAGAAATTTATACAAAGAGTAAGAATGTAATGCATGCACATAAAAACGCACCAGAATGTAGAGAAGGGACATATACAAAAATTCTGATTAGAAAATTACCAGATGGCTCTTTTACTTTCTGATTTGTGCTATTCATCTCGCCCCCCCCCCCCCCCCCCCCGGCTGATAATGTTAGGAGCTCATCCTTGATTGATTGATTTATTCATTCCTGGTTCCCTACTACAGTGAGTGATATTGGCCTTCTCTAAATCTAGAACTAGAGATGAATCTAGAAGTTATTTATTCTCTATTTGCCTTTATAAGATAGTATTAAATTTTCTTGTGTTAAACCTGTTACTTTCCTCAAAGAATTGCTCCAGTAGGGTCAGAGATGGAATCTGCTTAAGGGCTAGGTCAGCACAATGTGTTAAGTTTAAAAGGGCATTTTACGCATGGTGTGTGTTTAAATCGAAATTCTAAACCACTGACATCTGTTCCCTAGTCAGCTTTTTTGCCTTATAAAAGCTATGTACACACACTCCAAATAAGTTTTTGCTTATCCCTTTGAATTATTTTCCATATATTATTTTGTTAAATTTTCAAAGCACTCAAAATAGAAGTCAAGGGCAATGTATTCTTTTATTGGGTTGTTGGAGAAGTCATGATGCATTTTTGCAACGAAAAATAGAAAAAATACGTCATGACTTTTCCAACAACCCAATAGCTCATGTTCTTCTATTGAGAAGAAAATTAGCAGGCCAAATTAAGCTCTATTTCGCAATTGCTTTTCTGAACTTCATTTTTATAATTTTCTCACCCAATTTGCAACTGCTTTCCTGAGATCATGCTTTTTCACTTTAGATATCTAAAATGTCATTATTTACTAAATATTTGCCTTAACACTGACCTCTGTGGTTACTCTGTTGAAAATCTTGCTGTAATTTGACAGCATTAACTACTTCTGATTACTTATCTAGTACATGGGTGATAATATCCACCTTTCAAGAAAGGAAGACAGTTCAAACACATAATTTGACAAAATGAGGATGCAGCAACATCAGTTCTAAGAACACAGGAAAAAATCTGAACAGAACTGACATTTCTGCCTGCTGTTAGATAGTGCTCCTTAAACCACAGACAGCACACAAATGTAGGCAGAAACAATACATCTGCAGATACTGGCAGACAGCATTACCCGCCAAATTTGGCCACAGTTTCTTAAGATAAATAACTTTTCGATTACGCGTAGGGCTGAAATTACATAAACAGCAGAAATTACTAAGACCCAATCCTACAAGTTTTGTGGGTTTCAAGATTTTATGCAATCAATATTCTGAAATCTGTAACAGCATTTTGTTCCCAAAATGCAGATGCCAGAAATATAAGAGATTAACGTTACTTGATGACTTTTGTTCAGATTTTGAAATAAACTAAGTTTAATTCTTTGGAATAACCATTCTTGAGCCACATTTTTATTCAGGTCATTAAGACAACCATAATCATCTCCTTATAAGGAAACGTTTCATTAAAAATGCTAGAGAACTGCAGCCTGCTTTGAAAACCAATACTGTAGCTTGTTATATTAATAGTTCTAAATGGCTAAGGCTTATTAAATGAAAACACCCTTAACAGTTTTATCTCAAGAGTCTGAGCAATAAGAATTTTAAAAAGCTGACATTGGACAAAAATTGAGTATTCTGGTTCCATAATAGAAAATGGCATTAACTAGTTACCTTCTTAATCTTTCCTTAAAAATGACCATTTGCACATTTAAAAACTTTTAGGGAGATATCTGCCATTATAAAATGGGGTTCAGATGGCTGAAGAACCTGAAGAATGTGTGTATTGAAGCTCCTTGATAATTGTCACCTATACAGCAAAACTGTGGCAACATTCTCTAGTGGGACTTAAATTTCCTGAGAACAATTTGTAACACTGGGTATCTTTTACAACACTACCTCCCTTTACCTCCCCTTGCATATCAACCAAGTTCTATTCTAAAAGTGACATTAATGGAAAGCTGCAACAACAGCCCTGAATATTAAACTTTCTTAGAGAATGTCTCCTTCCCTTCACTTTTGGAAGTAAAATTTTTCTTTCTGTTAATTTTCTGAGTATGTTAACTTGATTGAGTCATATCAAGAAAAATTTTTTAAGCTAAGACTTCATTCTAGTTACTGAGATGGTTTATTGCTTTATTATTTGTTACAAATATTCTATAAATTAAGTTAATGAGCACCTTTTCTATTTAAAAAAATCTATTTCTTTCTTATATTACTTGAGCCAGGGATTTTTTTTTTTTTTAATCTACTGTCTACCATTTGCTGAAGAGAGAGCATTCATCAATCTCAGAAGGAAAATACTTCCAGTGGTCAATACGTTTTTTTTTAAAAAGGTCTTTTGCAAATGAGTAGCTGCTGACATAAAAAATATAAAAGGATTAACTTTATTAGACATACAAATTCAAGGACATTCGAGTTTGTTTTTTTAAACGATTAGAGCATGAGAAGACAGAGCAGATCAATGGTAATGGTTCATACATACATATATATATATACATATATATATATATATATGTACACACACACACACACACACACACACACACACACACACACACACACACACTATGCTTACCAAATCGAGTAAATAGATGTACTGTCCACTGTTCAAAATAACAAAATGAATGTTTTATGTCCCTAAGCTGTTTCTATACTCTACAATCACTAAATGGGAAACTTCTCAGCAGACCAACATGCCCAGACTTATATCCCACAGGAAGTCTGATATGCTGTCGGTTATTGCTATATATCATTTTGGAATGCAGTAATACATAAACCTCTCTCCTGGTCCTTTCCTATTTTGCCTACTTCATTCATTATCGATCTCTCTTCCCATCCCACCTAAGACTCCAATAATCAACCTTCTCTGAGCAGGACCAACTTAGTCAAAACAGAATACAAAGATCTGGATGGCTCTAGGCAGAGGGAAAATCTCCAGTAATAGTCTCAATTCTGTGTTCACTTTTCCTTCTAGCAGCCACCTAATTATTCCTAGGTGTGAAAAAAAAAAAAAGGCCACATTCAGAGAAAAAGAAATAATTTTGGACTATCAATCTTCACCGTGGTCCCATGACTTCCCTTTATCAACCATTAAGTTTTCAACTGTAAACATAAGCAATATTCAGCAAAGCACCCTGAAACTTTGTGGAAAGCACCGCATAATTTCCAAGGAGAATGTATTAAGGTGCGGGTAAGAGCAGGCAGAAAACCCGAGAACCCATTAAAAAAAAAATGGCAATTCACACAATAAATGCTTTCACAACATACTTTTAAATGGATCAATTAAATTCAATTTTAAGTGATATCCTCATTTTCTCATTGTTTAGTGTTCATAAAAGGCATAATGTAAGGCTCTAGAAGAGGAAATTATTTTCTTAACCTACAGAATAGTTAGAGCACCTGTACCAGCTTGAGTCTTCCAACAGTACACATAGTTCATGGTTTGAAGAAACGAATAAAGTAAGCTTTTTGACTCACTTAATCCCTAAAACATCCATTAAATTTAAGACTTGCACCTTGAATCCCTATGTACTAGGCTAAAACTGCCCCTTTTTCTGTACATTGCAGTGACAAATAATTAGGGAAACTAAAGAGCTGATTCTCCTTGGGCAGATCTAACTCAAAAATCATGTTATTAGTAATCTAATCCAATTTTAGAATAAATTATTCATCTTGCCCTGGTCTCTAAATAAGAACTTATGGCTGTACAAAGAACTCTTCCGCCCCACCTCACGATACACAACAGCAAACATGAAATGAAGAACAATAATTACAAACTCATATCTTTAAAAAACGGATGCAACAAAGCTCCTTCTGCTGTTATTCTTGAAGCTGGATTTAGATCTAGAAGTTTATCAAGTAGGTCATAAGCTTCATCAGGTACCTCATTCCAGCCTTCCAGATTGGTAGTATACACATCAATATGAGCCCCACAGCCATTTCTGTTCCCTTTACACAGCGAATCCCCTGAATGCTGTGCTTTAGTTGTCTGTACGAGGTGAGAAGCTGGGTCATGAGAGGCAGGCCCTTGTACATTGCTTGTAAATTTGGGAGTGTCAGAATCTATACCTCTGAGCTTCTCACAGAGTTTTCTCAAGTCTTGTGCTGGGACTTCTTTGCTACACAATACTGATTTGCCTAAAAGAGAAAAAAATACACATCTTTTGTATTATTTGAATCAACAGAAGCCTCTCTCATGAGAAACATGCAAGCCCACCCATGTGCTTTATGGATATAGTTACACTGAGGATGAGCTAGACACCACAGGCTATTTTATAATAAGTTGCTTTGCATTACGCAGCGGAAGATCAAATCATATAGTGGGAGACAGTGAGTACCAAATAGTGACTTGCTAAAGTAGAACTGCCAACTTCGCTAGTTTCATTGTATCCTTCTGTAATCTTTAATCAGCTGCAGCTTCCATTCCCTCTCCCCTTTCTAAACGTCTACATGCCTTTGACTCCATGGTTCCTGTCTTTGTCTAGGGTGCCCTGCACGCCCCCACGTGCCCAGGATACTCCACTAGGCTCAAGAATGACCTCTGTGGGGCCTGACACTCTCAGGGAGTTGATCCTTGTAAACTTCTGTTGTGCCCTGTGAAGATTTCTACTATTACTTTGGCCATCCTGTATTGTAACTGATAAAATGTCTGTCTGTCTCGCCTACTAGACTATGAGCTCTTTGAAGATAGGGACTATCTCATTTATCTTCGATTCCCTCAAACCTAGACCATGTTTGGTACATACTAGGTTCTCCACTAATGCCGGTGGGGCTGGACAAAAAGGCATTCGTCAGCCTTTCACATCATTGTTCAAATATCACATCCTTACAGATGCTGTCCCTGCCCAACCTATCCGAGACAGCTCAGCCCTCTGCACTCCCTTTCTCCTTTTATCTTTCTCAATACCACTGATCTGAATGACAGTATATACAGTATTTGTTTATTGTGTCTTCCCCACAAGAATTTAAGATCTATGAGAACAGAGACTCAACAATAGTACCTGGCACACATAAAGTTACAATAAATGTTTCTAAATGAATATGCAAACCAGATTTCAAGTTTTTAAAAAATATGTCTTTGACACACTTTCCCAAAAGATTATCAGACATAGGCAAAAATAAGTTAAGCACACAAATAGGCAATACTGTATTTATTATTTTTGCCTCATACTTCCTTATTAAACAGAAATGTGGCTCTAAACAATGAGTGGCACAGCATAGATTCCTTTCTAGGGTATTTGTTAACAATATGGATTGTGAAAGCAATTAATATAGCTCTGGCTAATATAAAGTTACTTTTACATATTCTGATCTAACTACTGGATTGATGTATTAAGGTAGGTGGCAAGGTAGGCAGGGAGACAAAGGAAACAAATTACCAAAAACTAAGTTGGTTGAGGATACCTATGTCAATCCTTTTTACTTTTAAATCTATTTAATCATTCCTATTCTCTCTAGAAAATTATAGCCCAAGAAGAATAGTTATATAGTCTTATTCCTTAATTTAACGGCTACTCTGAAGTCATGAGATAATAAACACTATGTGTTATAGCATCTTCCCAAGTTATACACTATGCCTAAATTATTTTTTTATATATCCAAAGAGAGGGCTCATTATTCAGGGAAAATAATTTAAACTAATATATTCAATCAAAAAATATTTTGTCTTTTGAATTTATTTGACACAACTCAACAAGTACTTAATGACAATCTACGATGGGGTCAGGTCTAGGAGTTGAGGACAGTAGGGGCAGATTACACATAAGACAAGAGAATTAGAAGTATTCTCACTGCTAACTGCAGGTAAGACATTTCTTTCGATCATAAAGAACACTGTCATGGTTGCTCAAGTTTTAAGTCCTGTATTCAAAAGTTACAGGAAGATTTGACTGAAATAACTATAGAAGTCATACTAATAAAACTGAGCCAAGTGCTACATCGCATTATTTTTTAAGGATGAGAACAAGCATTACAATAATAAATCTCTAAAAGCCTTTGCCTGCTACCATGACATTTGTCCTGGAATGTTCCTGTGTCAGATGTTGTACTTCCACTGTTGATCCTCATTATAACTGCAACTATAGATGGGGGTCGGGGTTTAAGCTCTTCAACAAAATGTTTTGGTGTTCTCTGATAAATTTCATAAACTCATGGAGTTATTCACTATTAGATGAAAGTTTTCTCAATCAGTTGAGAATAAACATACGCATGTAAGAATGCCATTTCCAAGGTGTCAATGTTGCTTTCCACTCATGGTCACTTTTCCCTTGCATGTATGTATTACTTCACCTTATTTTCCTTAGATAAAATTTTCTTATAATAGGTGTTAAGAAAGATACAAATTGTGGATTGACTTTGCTGCAGAAACATTTTTTAGTAAGCCTCTATGATGAGGCTTTTTTCACAGCCACCACTAAGTTTTTCTGGTGGATCAGACCACGGCACTGGTGCCTGGGCAAGGGACCATTATGACCATTATTTTCTTAGTCATAAGTAGTTCCTTGTCAAAACCACTTTTTTTTTTTTTTTAAACTAACAAGCCTGGACCCTTCCTACATATCTTATTTTTCTGAATCCTAGTTTCCAGGAAGGTATGGGTTAAGAGAGGTGTATGTATTTCATGAAGCTCCTCAGATAATTCTGATTGCTCCACTGATTAAGACCCATTGATCCAGGGGCTGAGCATAAGGTGGCCAAGCTACTCTTGGGGCGGGCCGACTGCAATTCTGTCCGAAAGGGGTAGCACGCTGACGCAATCACACCCATCCACTTTAGAAAGTATTAACTAAAATGATGCATGGAGAATAAACATAAGGTGGGCATTTGAGTTCAAGTTGTTGGCTATAGCAAGGCTGAGATAATTCTCAGGTACAGTATGAAGAACACTGTGTATCCCAGTCTTTTTTTTTTTTTTTTAGCTGAGCCATCCTGCTACCTATTGGCAGCTTAGTGGCAGCTCAGCTCGGGCTGGGCATCGAAGTATCCCAGTCTTGAACTACAAGAACTTTGTATAGTTAAGGAGATGACTTCCCATGTCCAATATCTGCTTACAATGATTCTGTTCTCTTCTCTGCTATCCTAACCCTAAGGTACCTGATAACTAACACACATTCTACTATCTTCCCCACTGTTGTCCTTATTATGTTGTATTATAATTTACTGTTTGTTTGTTAGTATAGACTAAGGTCATTTAAGGCAGGTCCAAGACACGTGATGCTTAATACACAATAAACAAATTAAAACATATTATTAAAAATATTTATGTAATTAAGTCAAACCATAAGGAGTTAAGATTTTATCCCTTATTCTTTTACTTAAGATTATAAAGTTAAACTTTAAATATTGGAGAAGTGTAGCACTTTGTGCTTGATGAGATTAAAAAATTGTATGAATAGAAGTGATGAAAATTACTTTTTTACACATGCAATTAATTTTTAAGCAACTAAGAAATCTTCCAACATCTGAGAACTTTATGAATACAGAATGTTTATTTGAAAAGAAAATTTCATAATAATGTATTAAGTAATTTGTAGGAGATAATCAAAAGCATTTGTTTTGTTCTATAACATAAAACTGCTTACCAAAAGTTTTAGCAGCCTGGATAGTTTCTCTGGATCCACGAATTGTCATAATTTGAGCCAAAGCAGTTAAATCATCACTTGCTTTATAAAATGGGTATCGTCCACTAAGCAAAGAAAGGAATATGACACCTGCAGACCACATGTCAATTGCTGTAACAAAAAACAAATTTTAGAAAATCCTAAATCTGCAATTTTATCATCTGTATCAGTAGTTCTCAACCTTTACTGTACATTCAAATCACCTTGAAAGCTTTAAAAAAAAATTGTGATATCCAGGCCCAATCCCTCAGAGATTCTGATTTAACTGTTCTGGAGTAGGGCTCAGGCATCAGTATTTTTTTAAAAGTTCCCCAGATGCTTTTAATGTAAATTCAGGATTGAGATTCCATGGTTTAACAACCTTTAATACACAATATGTTTTCTTTCTTGAGCACCATTGTTGGTAAATTTAAAAGGATATTTCACCATTAGAAAACAAAAAGTAAATGCATATTCTATAAGATCAAAAGAAATCCAAAAATAGCTAAATGGGAAAAAAATATAGATGCTCCTTAAAAATTACACACTACAGTAGTAAAAGTGGTTCATTTTAGTGCAAAGTATTTAGCATTAGAAGTGCTTCTTCAGCCAGGTGCTAACCCTAACTTTTGCTACAGAAACTTTAATATCCAGAATTTTGGCAGTTAAGATTAAGACCAGCTCAGCCTCATGTTAAGAAACATTTCTTTTTTCTTAGGGACATCTTCTGTCCTGTTGACCTCCCAGTATCACCAAATTTGCTCTCTATTCCCTTGGTCAGAGTATCATTTGCCTTTTGTGGTTCCCTTTGTACCTCTGCCTGCTCCTTGAAAGTTTTCTCCAAGCCTCAAGCGCTGAGATTCCCAGAATTCCAAGCTCTTCTCCCTTATACTCTCCCTGATTAGCCCATCTACTTCATGGCTTCAACTACCATTTATAAAATGATGACGCTCAACTGTATTTCCAAATCAGGCATCCCTGAGTTTCAGACTTACTTTTACTCTATTGGATATCTCTATCTGGATGTCCCCAAAATACCATATTTCCCCATGTATAAGACACACCCTTTTGTGAAAAATTTGGGGTCTAAAACCTGGGTGCGTCTTATACAGTGGTTGTATAAGCGCAAAAACAAGCGTGAAAAAAGCGGGAAATGCAATTAAAAAAATCTACAACCACTGTATAAGATGTACCCAGTTTTTAGACCCCAAATTTTTCGAAAAAGGGTGCGGCTTATACATGGGGAAATACAGTACCTCATAAAACTAATTATGCCCCAACAGTATCTTTTTTTTTTTTTTTTAAAGATTTTCATTGGGGAATTGGGGGATGGGAACAGCGCTGGGGAATTGGGAGAAGGGGAACAGACAAGTTGCTGTCCTGTTTGTTCTTCAGTCTAGTTGTGGAGGACGTTGCTTCACCGGCCCAAGTTGGCACCATCATTGCGCTCTTCCCAGGCGAGGCAGATCAGTCACTGGCTTCTGGACGGCAGTGCTGGCCGCTCATGCTGGCTGCTGGCTGCCATGACTCACTGCAGCCCAGCTCCAGGTTGAGCTGTTGTTCAGCATCTTAGCTGTAGAGGGCAATGTCACTGGCCCTCATATGTGGGACCTGAACCGGGGCCCTCTGGGGTCCCAAGCCAGCTCTTAACCAATGCGCCATTCGGCCGGCCCCGCCCCCAACAGTATCTTACCCTGTAAACCAGTTGCTTCTTTATTCTCCACCTTGGTCACTGGTACACATCTAAGTCCCCCAGGCTAGGAGGCTGATAAACATCCTGGATGCCCTTTCCCTCACCACCCCCCACCCTAATCCACATCCAATTATCCTCCAAGCTCTGCCTTTCCAATCCTTCACTTTTCTTTTCATTCCTAGTACTAATGTCCTCATTCAGGATTTCATCCTCTCACCTGGACTACTGCAGGCCCCCATTCTCCAAAATCTATCCTCTCTACACACCTGCCAGATAATCCATCTAGAACAAAAAGTTACCATCTCTTTTCCTTGATAACCTTTTAACACCTACAGGATACAGTCCAAGCCATTTAACAAGTGTGACCTGACCTTGTCTACCTCTTCACAGGTTTATTTCTCGTCAATCCTTGATTCTTGCTACACTAAAATTTTATTGTTTCCTGTATGACTAGAGCATGCTGTTTCTTGAGTTTCTCTGCTCATGCCTCAATGCCAACCCCACACCAATTTACATTCTCTTCTCAGAAGTTCTCTCTTCATGAACTTTCTTCCAAAATCCTTTCAGGTATTTCAGGTATCTCCCTAAAATACCTTGTATAAAGTTTTATATCCATACTCAATGGGTTATTTTATAATTATTTGAAAATGTGTCCTCATTAGAGTATAAGCAGATAGTTTCACGTGTATTGTTTTTTGTATCATTAGCAAGCACAGAATACACACAATGCATAAATGCATTTCTTTAAATTCCATAATCCAAGTGAATGGTAGGATTCATCTATTTGTTTCCTGTGCTCCAGTTCCATAATTTTTTCTTTTCAAAAATGTTTTTAATGCTATTCTACTGTTTTCAGAGTAACAAAAAAATAATTTAAATGGAACACACAATCATATGTGTACCACAGCAAAGTTTTGAGGCATTATGCAAACAGATAAAATGCTGCAACTCTTAAGTTAGCAAAGACCACTAAACAGTTTCTTCCACCACAAAGATGATGTTAACAAAATTCCTGTTAAAATCATCTTGTAAATAGATAAGCAAAATGTGATCTATTAACAAAAATTGTTCTAAAAAAAAGGCAACATTAGGATTAGAAACTTGCATAAAAACTATTATCTTTAAAAATGGGATTACCACTATGTAATTTAATTAAAAGCAGAAGAGCTCAAATATTAGTCATAAATAAAGTACATAAAATAAAATACTCCTGGGACAATCGGTTTTAATTAGGGTCTGTATTTCCAGTGCAACATACCTGTAGTTTGATTGGGGCACTTCGTCAGGACCTCTGGTGCTCTGAATCCTGGTGTACCCGCCCTAGGGGCAACCTGTTGCCGCCTTATGATGAGATAAGATTTTTCTAGTTATGCTAAAGTTTAATTATTTAAGACCAAAAAATAACATTTATCAATTTAGTTCACAATAAATTCTGCCTTGATACCTATTTAAATAAATAAAAGTTATTATAAAGCAAATGGTAATTCAGTACAATGAAAATCATAAATTTCGTTTCCACAGATCCCTCCCAACTCCCTCAACTAGTTTCCAGTCCTTATTCCAGAAAAGTTTTAAGGTAACTTTCAGCCATAAAAAGAGGTAATAGATGATAAAAACCATAACAGAAAAATAGAATACAACAGAAATTCAGAGGTACGAAAATTTATTTCTGTTGAGAGTGATACACTTATTCACTTATATTCTTGAGTTAATCAGGAAAGGCTCATGAAAGCCAAGTCCTGAAGTAAAAAAAAATTTAAGTGACAAAGAGTTGGAGATGGGAGTGAGAGAAGAGCTCTGTTATTTGGTTCTGGTTTTTCTACATTGGCAGGAAGAAAGAAAACAAAAGATTAAATCAGCCAGCAAAATGTGCAATTCTCAGATTCCAAGAAAGCTATTCCACCACCAAAATTATTTGCATATAAGAGCAAATGTGTTTTCCAAAGAGCATATGCGTGTCAAGTGAACAATACATGACAACAGTTATCATTTGCTCTCCAAGGTATTATTAATTCTGCATCAGTGCCTATGTGGTTGACACAACTGTGTTATTTCCTTTGGCTCAATCAATTATACACCAAAATCGAGGCCATTTCTGACCTTGTCTAGCAGCATTCTTGTGATTTTACAGCACCATCACAACACATTACCTTGAAAGGCAAATACTGCAAACTTTATCTGTTGCGTAACAGTCACAGGTCAGGCTGGCTGGGCAAGAACTGGTAGTTTTCTTCAGCACACCACTATTCACAACTTTGGTAGAAACAGCCTTCTTTTTTGCGGCTACCTTTTTAGACAGCACATCTACAGTCTTTGACTGCTTCATAAACTGTAAAAGAAAAGTCATATTTTCTATTTTCATGACATTTAATGATGTCTTCAAATGCTACTGTGGCAAAATGCAATAGTGGATGCCTAACTTTTAAAACTGCTGCATGTACTATTGGATTGTAAACAAACAGTTCTCTATTAAAACATTTAAGGTCTTTTTAGGTTTTTCTGCTAAATAAACATTTTAAAATTTACTAAGTAGTCCTAGTTTGGTAAATATTTGACTTACACTTTATTAGAAACTTTTCCTGGTATGTTACAGAAATATTAAACAGTTACATTCTAGTGTCTAACTCCATTTCAGAACTGTAAACTGCACAATTACATTGGCTAAAATCAGAATTTTAATTTGTTGCTCATGCTATCTAGCTGTTACAGGATATCTTAAATCAATTTAAAAACATTTAACGTTGATGACAATTTTATAAACATCTTTATGCTATCAACTGTGTGTCAGAAATATGTCAGTTGTGGGGAGTTCACATTCTAGCCAATCAGAGAATAGGCATTCATGTTCCAAATGTTCCTTTAGAGGGAGAGCAACAACAGTCAGCTAACGAAAAATTCCACCAGAAAAATTCAGGAAAAAACTGGATAAAATAAAAGTGTTGATTAGATGCTCAAGGTAGTAATACCTTCTGCGGAAGCAACTCCTTTTAAAAACTTCCTGATAATAAGTGCTGATCTAGCCATTCCCTAAAATTCTCTTTAGTGAACGACTAACTGATGATTACACTATGAAGCTACATTACTTACTTTCACTGCAGGGCTCTCATGTGAAATGGAACTGTGTATATTGAAATCTCTTTCTCCAAAAACAGAGCGCTGGACAGAAAGGCCTACAGATCCCTCCTACAATACCAACAAAAACAAGGAAAATAAGGATTATATCTGTAACACTTTCTGCCAGCTGTACTCTGCTATAGTTTTAAAAGAGTTAAGTGACATGAAACAAAAACAGCTGCATCCAAGTCATTCTCAGGCACCAAAACACTTCTGTGAAAGGAGAAAATAGTCTATACAGAACTCTTGACACCCATACAATGTTATCACAGTCCACAGATATATGTTACTAATAAAAGGGAAAATCCACCTGCATGGATGTTACATTTTGCTGTGCAGCTAAAATGGAGATAGACACTTCGGAATATTTCTCCTGTAACTAATGCTTTCTTTTAAAAAGGATAATTAATCTGAACTTTATAACATGCAGGGAAAACTTATTCTTTTCCATTTTGTTATATAATATAATTGGTAATTACAAAGCATCATAAATCTATGAAGTATGTTTCAGTTTTAAAATAGTAACATGATGTTACAAATCTTAGTGAAAATCTAATCAATAGATAACAAATGTAAAAAAAAAATTATTTTAAATTGCAAGTATTATCCTAGTATTACATCTCCCTCTGTTGGATGAAGGAGTAATTTCTAAAACTGTGTTAGTACTTAAGAAATAAAAAAGGTAGAACCTTTCCATCTTTTCCTTGTTTAATCTGAATTTGTGTATTTGTGTAGAGCCTTTTAAAAGAGTCTTTTATGGTGAGCTGCTGATCTCGCTCCTTAGATGCTGTTGGTCCACTTAACGAAAACTTGTTTCCGGTGATTGGATGGGATTTACATTGTGAACAACCTTCCTGCTGAGCTTCAGACTGAACAAATTTGAGAAGCTCTATTTTTGTATCATGGGTTCCTTGGGCTAAACCAAAGTCTACCAAGGCATACCTAAGAAATAAAAGAAAGCATTTTTTACTTCTCTGTGACAATTAAAACTTAGTAACATTGTAATAAGCTCAAACTATATTCATACAGAAACTGATTCTTTGGGGGATCAATTAAGAATTTATAACATTCTTGAAAAAGGAAAAGAAAAATAAGTTTGACAGACAAGGTAAGGATTTTAATAGCTAACAAGGATAGAAAAGTAAGGAAAGAAGTATCCCCCACCCAAAAGAAATCTTTTATCCCCCTTTTCCATTGGTCTGTACTGTCTAGGTAGACAAGGAACGCAGGATATAAACATAATCCTTTCTTCTCTGAGGGTGGCAGAGATGTCATTATAGCAGATAATTTTTAATTAAACAAGTTTAAAAGAAATTAAAATCATAGTTTTAAAATCTGACTTAATTAAAGAAAACTAAAGAGAAAAGTCAGGAATAGAAAGGCCCAAGGAAAGAAGTTATAGTTCTATTCATTCTTCTTACCACACTTAAAATGATCCAATGTAAACAGTATTTAAGTTTTCAATGCCTCTATGTATATAATCAGCATAAAAAATACACATAAACACAAAACTTAGTGTTGAAACAAAAAATTGGCTTTCATGTGGTCAATCCCTTCATTTACTGAAAAGAAAAATAAAGCCCTGAAATAAGAGAAATGTGTAAGGTCAAAAGGACTAGACACTTTCTAAGTTTCTTTTAGCTAACTGTTATTTCCTTTGAGGCAAGGAACATCTAATGACGTATTAGTACAATTTTATGTTCTTCTTCACTGTATTTTCCCTCTCCTATCACAGAAAAAAATCTGTGCATAGCTGTCGCAGTATGTTCTATGTCTAAGAGATGGATCCCATAGCACAAATTCACTCAAGCGTAAATATTTTCTGGTAACTTTCCATACTTACTTTTTCAGGCGCCTATTATATAAAAAATTGCTGGGCTTCACATCACGGTGAACAATACCAAACTGATGAATGCGTTTCAAAGCTTTGAACAGATTAAACATATATTCCCGTACTTCATGAAAGGAAAGAGAATTCAAGATGTCCTAAAATAAAGTTATGAATAAGTTCATAAAATTTTTTCATTAAATATTAAGTTAATAAAAATTCAAGAAGTAACAAAACCTACCAAAAAGGATTCATGCTCCAGATATGGCATAGCAATAACCACATGATCATTTTTCCTAAAGCAGTATTTAACTCCCATGACGTTGTCTTGCCCCCTAGTGGAAAAATGCAAAGTGAACTTTAGAGGAAAGGTCAAATAAACCAAAACTTTATACCTATTTTAGAAAACAATAAAATCCTGCAATTTTATTAATGCATAAATAATGCTAGAAGACAAACTTAAAATCATCATCATATAGGACAGTATACACATTCAACTGACTTGTACAAGGTAGTTATAAAAATAGCACTAGTTATGAGGTTACTATACTAATCAAACATGATATAGTTTTAATTGGAGAAGTCACAGAGTGAGAAGGAAAAGATGAATAACAAGAATGAATTAACAAGATGTAAGTAGCAGGTAAGTTGGTAATAGTAATGAATAAATTTTTAAAATTTAGCTAACCTTTACTAAGCATTCACTATATGCCAAGCTCTGATCTAAACACTTCACATCTACTAACAAGTTCACTTCATCATCACAATGACCCTATGAGAACGGTGCTATTATTTCCTCCCCCTTTTCTACAGACAAGGAAATTGAGGCTCAGAGAGGTTATGGAAGTTCCCCCACTAAACCAGTGTGCCATGGAGCCAGGATTTGAATCCAGGTAGTTTGCTCCAGGGCTATGCTCACAACCACTATGCTACAATACACCTCATAAAAGATGAGGAAAATGGGGTAAAGTTGATTTCCATGGCTTTGAACCTGAGTAAAATAACATGGATTATCAACAAAATATGTAGAGAAATCAGGAAAAGCAGCTTCAAAACCAAGACCTCATCATTTTGATAAAGACATCTAGGTATGGAACTAAGTCTTAAGTGAGAAGTCAGTGACAGTACTTGCACAGAAGTGATACATAAGGCTGTGAAAATAAGAAAAAACTGAACCTTGGACAAGTTTCTCAAGTTGGAGGGTAAAATAAGGAAGAAGAGGCAGAAAGCTGATAGGGATGCCACGAAAGTGAGGAGTTTTGAAACAAGGGGTGATCAGCATGGAGATCAAAAAGAGTAAGAATTGACGGAAGGCTTTTAGTTTGGCAAAGAGGAATTAACTGGTCATTTTTCAGAGAGCAATTTAAGTGGAAAGGAAGAGGTAAAACAGGATTTAAGGAGGGGAAAAAGGATACAACGAAAGCAGAACATAAAGACGATTTGCCTGAAATATCTGGCAAAGAAAATTTAAAAAAACTAGCGTGGAAGCTAGACGGGAAGAAAGATCACATATAGGCTTTTAGTGTGCACTGTTTTGAAGTACAGGGAAAGGAAACATGGCAGAGGGAGAAATTTAAAATGTGGAAAAAGGAATGGTCTTATTCAAGGGACAAGAATGTATGTAGTCATGCATTAGAGAGGCAATCTCATCATCCTCTTGTCTTCTATAATAAACAGAAGGGTGAAACAAAGAAATAGGCTTGTTCATTTATTCTTTAAATATTTAGCAGGCACTGTTGTTATTGGCCAGAGACTTTGTTAGACATTAGGGATGAAATGGTGAATTAAAATTAACACCATTTCTGCCCTCATGGAGTTTACTATCTAGTAGATAATACAGATAATAAACAAGGTAACAAATAATTATAGAAGTTTTAAAAGAGATCAAAAGGTGTTGTGACAATAAAATATAGGAGAATCTAATTTAATCCAGAGAAGACCTCTTTGAAGTGGTGCCACTCCTGCTCAGATCAGAAAGATGAGTCGGCACTATGAGGGGGCTTCCTGAATGGGGAACAGTATGGCGAGGAGCCCTGAGGTAAGAAAGCTCTTGAGACAAATTTGAGGAACTAAAGAAACTGGAGCACAGTGAGGGAGGTGAGAAGACTGGCATGAGATAAGGTTCAATTTTTTTTTTTTTCTTCAAAGTACCCTGAGAAACTATCAGAAGATTTTAAGTGGTGGAGCTAACAGTACCCAATTTATATTATGTGCATGCATATTTTTATATTTTAAAGATCATGCTTGCTATTTTGTAACCATGGGAGTAAGTGGGTAAGAGAAGAAGCAGGCCATTATAGTAATCTAGGCTTAAAGTAGTGGTTGAGAAGGCAGAAAAACATGGATGAGTTTTTAGATATATTTTGGAGTCAAAATGGCCAAGACTTAGTGATGGATGTGGTTTAGGAGAGAAATGGAAAAACAGGATGATTACTCGGTTTCTGGCTTGAGCAACTGAGTAGATGGTGGTGACATTTGCTGAAATGGGTAAAAACAGGGTGTTGCAATAGGGGTTTTGTGGTTTTTCTGGTAGGGAAACATGGATTAAAATTTAGTTTTTGGCATGTTATATTTGAGATGTTTATTAGGTACCCAAGTAGAAATGTCAAATAGGCAGGTATTTAAAGTCATGTGCAAATACACGATCCTACCTAGGGAGGAACTCCAATATTTAGAAGTCAGGTAGAAGAGGAAGAACTGGCAAAGGACACCGAAAATGAAAGGCCAAATAAAGCAGGAAGAAAACAAGGGGTATGTGACAGTGCAGAAGTCAGAAGATAATGGTTTTCAAACCAATTATGTTAAACATGGCCTAGAGTTCCTGTGAATAGAAACAGGAACTGACAAAATGAAGTCATGGTTGACTCGACCTAAAGGAGTTTTAGTTTAGCAAAGAGAGCAGCAGCCACACTCTCTGAGTACTGAAAGGGCGGTGTGGAAGTGAAAACAGCACATGTAGATAATTTTTGAGAAGTCTGACTAAGAAGAGGAGCAAAGAAATGATGGAGCAGCTGGAAACGGGATGGCAGTACAAGGGGGACAGGAGATGCTAGGTCATGTATGTTGAGAGGAATGACCTAGCAGAGAGAGAGACCAATGAGGAAGACATGCCAGATGATGATTCTGTTGTTCAGATTAAAATATGAAACGAGGGTGTCTATAGCTGGGAAGATGTGAAATACGAGTTTTCCACATTTAAAAAAAATATCTAGACCATGGATGCCAAAGCTTATGATTTAGCAAGAAGATGAGAAAAATAAGTGGTAAAAGAACAGGAAGCCAAGCTTAGCCCCCAGGGAAATCCTCTTTTAAAATTAATATAAATTTAGCTAACCATTCCAAGGTTAGAGAAAAAGTACTAGCAAATTGCAAACACCTGACAAAGAATATGTTTAATTAATGGACAATCTCATCATCCCTGTTAGATATCTACTTAAAATTTGTCTTAAAAATTATATACAGCCAATTCAATTAAAATGTCTTTAAATTGCCTACCCAGCCACTGTTAGGCACTGAAGTTCAGCTGCAATCCTTATAGGATGACTTGTTGGAATTAAGTGTTTTAGAGCAATTTTCTCTTCAGGTCCTACTTGTAACTGTGCTGTGGCCAAATAAACAGAGCTGAAAGTGCCTATAAAATAATTTATTAGATTTTTCAATATTTGGTTTTCAAAAATGTTAATAAAACAAGGCTAAAAATAGATCATAAAAACTGTTTAGAACCCATAAAATTATCATAATCTATCATTAATATTTTAATAACAATGAACACAAAGAGCAACACATCTGTGAATACAACTTATTTTCAATTTTTAATAAATTCTGTCTTCAGTTCTTTAGGACATACTACATTAATTTAACCAAACTTCTATAGTAAATCTGTTTAACTGGGTTAGCATAATATATTTCCATGGTCATGACTTGTTCTAATAAGTATATTTCCATAATACTGTCATTTGAAATTACTTTCTTAAGACTTGGACACAGGTATGTTAGAAGTATAATAGAAATGGTAATATAGTCTTAGGTGGAAAAAAACTACAGAAACACCTGGGCTTTTAAATTTAGCATTCAAGTAATTAGAAAAAAATAAAGATTTGGTGGTCAATTAAATTTGAGAAATACTGAGTTAAAACAAATTGATAATTTTTTTTACGACAAAATTTTCCAGAGCCTTTAATGTGTTCATCATGAATAACCAAAAGGGAGCTATACACATTACATTTCCCAAACTTATTTAGCCTTAGAACACACTCCTCCCCCTTCAGAAACAGTTATCAATTTGTTAGGACGCCACTGTTTTCCAGAACAAAGCTTTTGAACACTCAAAAAAGGTAAGGAAAAAAATGAAAAGATCTGCTTCTTCTATCCCAAATCATCTCATCTTTTAATTACTCTGCCCCTGCTGACCCTGAAGTTTTCTAGTGTGACACTTTTCATTGTGAAAAGCAAGCAATGAAGTATATGGAAGTTTTGTGTTTTTTTACTATTTAGGTATTTCTCAACATAGCCACCAAAAAGTTCTATTATCTTTTTTTTCTTTTTTAAGCTGAGCCATCCTGCCCCCTGTTGGCAGCTCAGCAGCTGCTCAGCTTGGACCGGGACTTGAAATGCTGTTGCTCAGAGCTCAAACTCTTGAGCGATCTCTTAACCAGCTGAGCCACTCAGCCGGCCCTCTATCATCTTTTATCTTCTCATTCTCTTCACATCTATCTGCCTAATTCACCCTTCATTCAATCAAAATGATTGTCAGTCTTTCAATGGTATTTATGCTAATACTGACCATCCTATAAGTACTGTACTACTTTATTTCCATCATTTTGCCATCTTAGGTTTCATGTATGAGGTGTGATAAAAAAATACAGCGAATGTTAAAATTTAAAAAAATTTACTACAGTAAAAGACACATCGCCATTAATCGCCCTCAGAATACTCCCCCTCACTTGGAATACACTATCCCATCATCCTTGCCACTTTCTGAAGCAGTTCTGGAAGTCTTCTTTCGTGAGTGCCTTTAGTTACGCTGTCATGGCTGCATCAGTGTCCTGAATTGATTCAAACCATTTTCCTTTCATGGTCATTTTGACTTTGGGGAAGAGCCAGAAGTCACAAAGTGCCAGATCCAGTGAATAAGGTGGATGAGGACAAACCGTAATGTTTTTGACAGAAACTGATGTACCAGAAGCGATGTGTGACACAGAGCATTGTCATAATGGAGAATGAGTAAAGACACCCACAAAAGAGGACTTCCAGAACTGCTTCAGAAAGTGGCAAGAATGATGGGATAAGTGTGTTAGAAGTGAGGGGGAGCATTTTGAGGGGACTTAATGGCAATGTGTCTTTTACTGTAAACATTTTTTTTTTAATTTAAACATTCACAGTATCTTTTGATCACACCGCGTATGTTTCAATGTGCAATTCTACCTAACTACAATAGAGAGGAAAAAGATTTGGCTTCCCTTTATCAAATTTCCCAATCTGAATCTTACATTTTTCATAATAATCATTAATAACACATTATTAATATATCAGTACTTTTAATAGCATAAAAGTATAAAGATTAAAATAGGACTGTCCACTTTATACATTTATTTATTCTGTAATTCTTTCCAGGGATAAAAGAAAAACTGTTACCATAATAATATAAACATGGTCTTAATATTTTAAAAAGAAGTATATTTTTCAATAGAAAATAATAATAAACATCAAGATTAAACAAGGGAAACAGAAGGGAAAACAAAAAAAACCTTAAAAAGTATATAATAAATAATAAAGTATAGCCCCAAATTACCTTCTCCAATTTTGTCCTTAATCTTAAACACATTACCGAGCTGTGGTACAGCTTCATAAAGCTTCTCAATATCTTTTTTAACACCTATCAAAGAAAAAACAATTCATAGCTAAAATTAATGAGTGCATATTTTATGCTTTCTTAAATTAAAAAAACTCAACAAATTCGAAACCATGAATAAGTTACAAATAAACAAATAGGTATAAACAGCCTTAAAATCATGGTAAGAATCATTAAAATCCCATCATGTTGTTGTAACTCCCATACGCCTCTTGAACTAGGAGACAAACTGCTAAGTCCCAGAATCACATACCAAATTTCTACTACTCTGGAATTACTACATACTAACAGATACATTGTCACTGCCCACAGTACAACACAATGAAGAAGCTAACTTTAAAAAAATCACTAAACAATTTGTGCTATGATCACTAGATGGCATGACGAGGACACAATGCAATCTTCTTGAAAACTGTTTCCTTCCCCCAAGATATAAAACCTTCAGGCTTGGGAAAGCTTTGTGTATTGCATAGTCATAGTATTCCATCAGACAGTCGGTCTACTAATGCTCTCAGGCATGTCAAAAAACATTTTAAAAAATTGTTCCAATTACTAATAGTATCCTCTATCCCTGACAGCAGGTAAATTGCTACTTTTAAATAAATATAAGCTTTTTACAAAAACATACATGGTTAAAATACGGAAAGGTAATAATACAAAATGTAATAAACTACTGGGTATAAAAGAGAACTACATGCTTAAGTTATCAGATTTTATTCCCATATCTAGGCGAAACATCAGCTACTTTTTAAGTTATTATAATACTCCGCATAGTCTAATAGTTCAAGACATTTTCAAAGCACTGTCGCGTGTACTGCCATTTCAGATCTTCACAAAAGCACCATGATACTGGCAGAACAGGAATTAGTGCCCTGATTTTTCAGGTAAGGAAACCCTACCCAGGGAAGTTAAATCACTTGCCCAGTTTCATGGAGGTATTGCTGATAAGTCTGTAGATTCATTCATTTAACAAACACTGTGTTTTAACAAATGCTCAGCAATGGCCATATCATAAAAAATGAACTAATCTGGTGCAGCCCCTGTTCTCTCACAGGTTAACCTAGTAAAAGAGACAGATGTTAAAAGTCTGTTCCCCTCCCCCAATTCCCCAATAAAATCTTAAAAAAAAAAACCTCACTCTTTATACAAGACAATAATTGTAAGAGAGGAATGCACATAGTACTAGGTAGAAGCGGGGAAGGGAATGAATACTTTTGAAGGTGCCAGGAAGCTTCAAGTGACAGTTAAAACTGTATTTTGAAGCACTCACCAAGTAGAAAATTGGAAGAAGGCATTTTAGGAAGAAGGAACTATGTACACAAAGAAATGGAAAAGGAAAAAGGCATAGATTATTGCGGGGGGACAGTAGGGTAGAGGAAATAATGAAATTCAATGTGGCTGAGGAAGGGAAAAGAAGTGAAAGCCATAGAAGTTTTTAAGCAGGAAGATGACAAGTGGATAATTTGAGAGAGAGGAAGAACATTAAAAGCTGAAGAATAAATGAGAGGGTTTAGTCCAGTATTCTTCCCACTAAAGGAAATAGGAAAACTTACTTAAATTACCCTCACCTTCCCATGTGCTTCATAGGTATATGGGAGAAGCTTCATCATTTCAATATGAGACAATATAAAAGTAATTACGCATACCAGTTTTGGAGACAGGAGGCCTAAGTTAAAATTCTGGCCATCCTGTTTACCAGCCAGCATGACTTTCCTTGAGCACACAGCTTGTCTCTGTGAGCCTTAGTTTCCCCATCTATAGAGAAGGGGGTAATAACAGTACCCATGCCACTAAGATACTGTGAGGATTCAATGAAATAATATACATAACATAAGAGAAGCTTTTAACACAATGCCCGGCACATAGTAGATATTAAATAAATGATAGTGGTAATTCTTCCTGTTGTAGTTATTGTTATTAACATTTCTTTAGAGCTTTTGCTCTTATTATTCCCTCTGCTTCAAATTCTCTACCCTGTAACTTCATATGGCTGGCTAATTGTCACAGTCTCCTCTGACATCCTATTTAAATTAGCACTCCTCCCATTATTCACATTGTCCTGTTTATTGTCTTCAGAATACTTATCCACTATAAAATTATCCATTATAAAATTATTTGTTTGCTGTCACCTCCCACGAGAATATAAGCTCCACAATATAAGTTCCCTGTCTGTATAATTCACCACAGTACACTCGTTCTTAGGACAGTGCCTGGCACGTTTGTTGAATGAATGATTACCATTATTATGGCCACTCAGATAGATGTAGGGAAAAGAAAAAAAAAAAAAAGCAAAAGTTCAGAAGTTACAACAGAGTGAAGCCAAAACAGTAGCAGCTACCTCACTATCAGCTACTATACTCTAGAAACCAAAACCGAGGCCTGGGAAAAAAAGCAGGCTTTCTACCAGTCGTTGCCACAGTCCATTAGAATTTTTCCTTATGAGTGTCAATTCCAACCAGCTTCAAATTCCAGTGTCACAGGAAAGGCACCACGAATGGGTACTAAAACGCTATGTTCAAAAGTACATTTGATTCTAGGACACATTTTAACAACTCTAAAAGTGGGATGCATCTTATAAGTGTCAGCTAGCATCAAAACTTACAGAAAAGTGTCAGTGACTTGAAAATCAAAAAAACCACAAAGGAGCGAGCCTTCACATCGAACCATGAAGTGCCAAATGGTGGTGGGGAGGAGCAGCAAGGTGGTGAAGAAATCAAACGTAGGCCAGTTCCACACAACTGGGCTCTTCATAAGGGCCCATTAATAATGGCTTTAAAAAAATGGATTCACCAAAGAAATTCTGGGTCACAAATGTATAGAGACCAATATTTCTGAGGGGGGGGGGAATAGGACATCAATAACTCTAAGTACAAACAGGGATTCAGAAGAGACAGATCTGAAATATTTGTATTCCTTTTTAAGTATGTACCAGAGATCTACAATTATTTCTCTAATAGGTCTAAAAGAAGTCTTTCAATAAGTATAAAATTAAAAAATCATAGGCAATAAGAAAACATTGCATCATAGTATAATAGGCAGCATTTCTGAGCAGTATATAAAATGGTGTATCTTACAATCAATGGTGTTTAGATATGATGAAATATTTTAGGAACGCTGTTTGTACAATAGTATTATTAAATGTATTGATAATGCATTTATGTTCATGTTTTCGTTGTGTATGTGATTAATAGCAAAAGCTTTGTAGTACGATAGAATGGTGCTGTCCACTAATTTTGTGTGTCTATTTGAATTTAAATTAATTTAAATTAAATTAAAAATTAATTCCCTCAGTCACACTAGCCACATGTGACAACATAGAAACATTTCTGTTATCACAGAAAATTTTACTGGACAGCGCTAATATAAAAAAAGCTTAGAATCTAAAGATCTGGAATCAACTCCTATCATTAAACCACATAGTATTCAGTTTCTTAACCTGTAAAGGGGTTGATTAGATGAATTTTACCTTCCAACTACAATAATAGTCCATGGTTTCCCCATGAGTTCCACATTTTGGACCTGCCCTTTGCATAAGCATGAGCTGGCAGTTAGTAGAAATGCTGCTTAGCTGTTTGAAATCACCAGAAAGAAAATGTAAAAATACCGTAATGCACCAGCCATGTGAATTTGGCTTAATGTGCTTCCACAAAACTACTCACTTCCTATGTACTGTGTACTTACCTATAACAAAACTCTAAATATGTTTATGTTAAGGTTTCCTGTCACTACAGAACAACTATGACATTTTTAAACAACAATGAAACTTACTGACAACCAAAGTGAATATAAAATCCTCAAATTCTTAAGTAGGAGATGAAAGTAGACAGCAGAAGACATTCATTCAAAAGCTGGAAAATGGGCTGGCCGAGTGGCGTGATGGTTAAGAGCTGGCTTGGGACGCCAGAGGACCCCGGTTCGGATCCCACATATGAGGGCCAGTGACACTGCCCTCCACAGCTAAGATGCTGAACAACAGCTCAACCTGGAGCTGGGCTGCCATGAGTCGCTGGCGACGCGTCGCTTAGGCTGCAGCCCCTGCTGCAGTGGGTTGCCATGGGCTACTGTGTGTAGCCAGCAGCCAGCGTGAGCAGCCAGCAGCCGCAGTGAGCAGCCGTCCAGAAGCCGGTGACTGATCTGCCTCACCGGGAAGAGTGCAATGATGGTGCCAACTTGGGCCAGTGAAGCAACGTCCTCCACAACTAGACTGAAGAACAAAACGACAGCAACTTGTCTGTTCCCCTCCCCCCAATTCCCCAGCACTGTTCCCATCCCCCAATTCCCCAATAAAAATCTTAAAAAAAAAAAAAGCTGGAAAATACTACTAAAGGCAACAATCAATAAATACACTTTGAGGATTGAGGGAAGACCCTGAAAAGTCCACAAGCTAAAAAATTATTTAAATATTCCTATTTTATACATTAGGTCTATGGTTCTGTTTTGAAATTTACAGTGAATTTTTTTCAGCTACATAATATATCCAAGTTTTGATAACAGCAATAGCCTCCTTAACTATGCTCCCCACTTTCACTCTTGCTGGCTCGTAGTCTATATGTAACATAGCATCTAGACTACTCCTCAAAGCTAAGTCACCATATCACTATTTTGCTCAAACCTACTGTTTAACATCTTGCTCCACAAAGAAGCCAAAGAATTATCTACTCTCTCCACTCCTCTTTAACTTTACTCGCATCACCCTCCCACTTCCAGTCACCATGACCTCCTTGCTTTTCCAAAATGCTAGGCATGCTCCCAGCTCAGGGTCTTCCAGCTTGCCATTTCCTCAGCCTGGTATGCTCTTCTCCAGATAACTGCGAAACTCACTCCTTCACCATCTTCAAGTCTTAGTTCAAATGTTACCACCCTGATGCCTTCTCTGACCAATTACTGATTAAAATCACAATCTCTTCCCCCAATACTTATCTCCCCTTCCCTTCTACATTTACTTCACAGCACTTATTACTCTTTTTTTATTTTAAGTTTTTTTATTGGGGAATTGGGGGATGGGAACAGCGCTGGGGAATCGGGGGGAGGGGAACAGACAAGTTTCTGTCCTTTTGTTCTTCAATCTAGTTGTGGAGGACGTCACTTTCACTGACCCAAGTTGGCACCATCATTGCGCTCTTACCGGGGGAGGCACATCAGTCTCCGGCTTCTGGACGGCCGCTCACTGCGGCTGCTGGCCACTCACGTTGGCTGCTGGCTACATATGGTAGCCCATGGCAACCCATTGCCGCAGGGGCTGCAGCCTATGCCGTGGCAGGTGACTCACGGTAGCCCAGCTCCAAGTTGAGCTGTTGTTCAGCATCTTAGCTGTAGAGGGCAGTGTCACTGGCCCTCATGTGTGGGATCCGAACCGGGGCCCTCTGGTGTCCCAAGCCAGCTCTTAACCAATGCGCCACTCAGCCGGCCCAGCACTTATTACTCTTGAACATTCTATTTGTTTACTGTCTATCTCTTTCCACTAGATTGGGGGCATTGATTTTTGTCTGTTTTATGCATAATTTATCCCTAGCACCTAGTACCTGTACAAAATAGACATTTAATGAATATATCATAAATGAAATGCTGTCAATTACTTACCATGGAGTAAAACTGATACTCCAGGAATATATATATTTATTCTGGGGCTTCATATACTGCCTGATTTATACTGTATATAACTAGGGAGATGATATAATTTAGTCCAAACTGAGACACTCTTGAGAATAAGAGGGCACTGATAATAATTATATTGTGACAACAGGTATAAACTAGATCTGTCCCAAGCAAATCAAGATGGTACCTATAACCCATTTTAGAATCATGGGCTAAGAGCATCCATTTAACACACTGAAAGCAAGCCTTCCAGTATAGCTGAACAGTACGGAGGAGATACTCAGTGTATATACAGTTTATAGTTCATTCTTTCACTGAATAGATCTTTATCACTTGTTAAACTTGGCATATAGTAGGTACTTAAAGAAAAAGACTTACTGAAAGAATAAACATTTGGCCCAATATTACACCAGGTACTTTGTTCATGCAGCATTTTTCTTAATAGGAAAACAATCTAATGGTTCAACATGAAAAGGCAATTAAATAAATTATAGCATACTATGCAATGAACTATTAGGCAGTCATCTTAAATCAAGCTCTAGAATATTTAATTATATACGAAATGCTCAAGATATATATATTGCTAAGTAAAAAATGGAGACTAAAAATAAGTTGGCTAAGATCCCAATTTAGTTTTTTTTTTTTTTAAATGTACCTCCAGAACTAGAATTGATGGTTGCCAGGTAGAAGTACAAATTGCTAGTTATAAAAAAAGTCGCAGGACTATAAAGTACTGCATACGGAATATAGTCAATAATATTGTAATAACTATGTATGGTGTCAGATGGGTACTAGACTCATCTCAGTGTTGACTTTATAACTTATATAAATGTCTAATCATATGTTGTACACTGAAACTAATACAATATTGTATGTGAACTGTAATTGAAAAAAAAATTTTATATGTATCCGTACGCACAGGAAGACTAAAGGAATAAAACAAAATGTTAACAATGGAAATATTTGGATAGTGGGATAATATTTTCTTATTTTGGCTTTCTATATTTTCTAAATTTTCAATAAGCATGTATAATTTTATCATAAAAAGTTATAAAAAGCTGATAAATACCCCCAAACACAGGGCCACGCTATTCTTTTATTACACTAAGTATTTTACTTTATATCCTTGCATTAAACTATTCATTCAAATTTTTCAAGCACCTACTTTGTGCTGGACACTGTTAGGTTCTGGGAATACAAAGATATAGAAAAAGTCCTATCATTCAGAAGTTATTCCATAAAGGGAAAGTAAATCACATTAGATCATGAAACAGTTATGTGCTTGAACCTCATCAGCTTTCCTCCTTAAGTTACGTTTTTGATATAACTTTAGCTTTTATTTAGAGTCATATAAAAAAGACAGGATGTACCCATCCTGTTTTATAAATTATCAAAAGTACTGTTTATAATGTTCAATGTTCTGTTACATAGGAGCCACAAAACTTTAGAAACTGGAATAAAATTCACCCCACTCTAATTCCCAGATTTCCAGCATAACAGAACAGTAGCTTTCACCTGTACATAATGCTAGAATCAATTCAGATTCATCCATTCATATATTCTGCCTAATGTACAACATACATTAGGAGTTATATGAGATACTGTCTTCAAGGAGCTCGTGGTATAACTGAAGAGACAAAATACACAGAGTACTAAACACAAGAATAATACAATGACTGTGTTACTGTATTACGTGTCCAAAGGGAAAGCTAGACCGTGAAAAACGGGAATTGCACAAAAAAAATGGAGGGGAAGAGGGACAGCATCCATGAAACTGGATGAAAGTGGCATTTTAATATTATTCTAGTAGCAATGTACAGGATGCACTTGAGGATGAAAAAGTGAAAGCTGGCAGTTTAGATAAGAAACTCATAATTCAGGAGTAAAGTGTAAGGGAATAAATTAATGTGGTGGAAGTAGGAATAGGAAGAAAAGGCAATGCCACACATATTTAAAAGATAAAGTGGACATGGGAAGCAAATACAAAGCATAAATTGAAGACAATTCTATTGTTTCAAGCATAAATAGAATAATAGTGGCTTTTAGAACCAAAAATAGGGACATCAAGAAGAGTACTCGTTTTGACACCAAAGGTAAGTTTAGTTTCAGTCAGAAAGCAAAAGCACGTGATGTCATATTTTTCTAGGGTGAGGTTAAAGTCTATTTCATAGTGTATAAATATACAAGTATATCATGGACGAATAGTCAAAATTCTTTTGGACAAACACTAAATATGCTTAAGACAGAGATGGAAAAGATTTTGCTACCTTAAAAAAATAGTCAATTGCAACACCTCTAACAAATATTTATTAAAGACCTACTATGTCCCACGCACTGTGCTAGAATAGGAATGAGGGTGTACATTTTAGTGTACAAGATCAGGTATTGTTTGACCTACTCCTTTTCACTTCAAGGTCTGGGTTGAGGTCAAACAAGACTTCGTGATGTACACTGTGATCTGGTGCTATATCACTGCTGCAAACATTTATTTTTGTCACTGAATACTACTTTTGAATACTTAAGTGAAAATCCCTCCCACGTCAATTTCTAAATCCAACCGGAATGTAATATGTTGAGTAGACATAAGAACTTAAGTCTAGAAGAGAACCTCTAGTTTGGGCATCAACACTCGGTGTTCCTAGACAATCACTAACATTTACACCTTAGCAACTTCATCTGTGGAATGCCATGGTTGAACTAAAATCCCTCTAAAACGCAATCCAGTCCTAAATCTAGATCTTAGGAAGCTTTACTGATTTGTAAAAATGCTTTCATGTATACATACAACTCACTTTAAGATTCGGAAAGTTTTTTTTTTTAACTAACTGAAATGACTGAATTGTAGCCTGTACATCTTTGGAATTAAACACATACCTGGTGGTTTAAAATTCTGCTCATGTTTTTTTAACGAGCCATCATCCGCCTGCAACGGGTCACCCGAGGGAGAAAAAGCCATAGGTTCATCCACCTGAATCCCCAAAGACTCGTCCATCACAAAACCACTGGGATGCGAAATGCCAGCTAAGGGGTCATGCCCACAGGGGAGCAGAACAGCTGTGAAAATTAGAATACTGGAGAGGATGAGAAGTTTAAATCACTGACTGAACCGAGCACGGAAAAATGCCACTGCCCCCAAAGGGGCAAACATTTCAAAACGCACCAGATGTTCAAATCCCCAAAGGAAGAAAACTGTGGGCCATTTCTCAAGATTCCATTTGCTTCACTTTCATCTTCCAGAAATATCGGCAGGAAGCCGAAGTTAAATTCCTAGTGGGGGGAGCCTCCGGGTGGTGGGCATGCTGAGGATAGAGCCCTGTGATCAGCCTTGCCCTGGCACCAGCCTTCTGGCGAAAGGGACT